AGAGGGGCACACTGCCACACCTGACTGACCCCAGCAAGCAAGGCGCCTACCAGAAACACCTGGGGTGGGGGGGGGGGGGGAGAGAAGCGCTTGATCTCCACGACCTGAAAAGATTATAAGGTGTTGGTCAATTTAACAGGAGAGCAGAGGTGTTTACGGGTTGAGAATGTGACCTATGGGAAGTTTAAGGCGGCGGTTATGAGCTGGGGAGAGTTTAGGAGCTGAGAATGTAAGCAGGGAGAGTTTAGGAGCTGAGAATGTAAGCAGGGAGAGTTTAGGAGCTGAGAATGTAAGCAGGGAGAGTTTAGGAGCTGAGAATGTAAGCAGGGAGAGTTTAGGAGCTGAGAATGTAAGCAGGGAGAGTTTAGGAGCTGAGAATGTAAGCAGGGAGAGTTTGGGAGCTGAGAATGTAAGCAGGGAGAGTGTAGGAGCTGGGGAGAATTTGAAGGCTGAAAATATGGTCTGAAGAGAACTTGGGGCTGAGGAAATGATCTAAGGAGAGTTTGACGGTACAGTATAAGATCTGGGAAGAATAGTTTTGTACAGGCCAGAGACCCTAGCTTTTTGGAGAGTAGAGCTGAGAAAAAGAGGGAAGGCTCAATCGTCTGGGGAGAAAACCTGGCAACAAAGAGCCCGTGGAGGAACACTTGAAGACGTGAAGTAAAGAACTAGCAAACAAATGAAGTATGGAAAAGAGCAGACTTGGAAATCTGAACTAAGTTTAGGGCCTGGAAGATTAACCAAGAAACTTACGGAGTTAACCTGAGCAGGCAACTTAGGGGCCTACGAAGGCAACTTGGGGACCTGGGGAGGCAACTTGGGGACCTGGAGAAGCAACTTGGGGACCTGGAGAGGCAACTTGGGGACCTGGAGAAGCAACTTGGGGACCTGGAGAGACAACTTGGGGACCTGGGGAGGCAACTTGGGGACCTGGGGAGGCAACTTGGGGACCTGGGGAGGCAACTTGGGGACCTGGGGAGGCAACTTGGGGACCTGGGGAGGCAACTTGGGGACCTGGGGAGGCAACTTGGGGACCTGGGGAGGCAACTTGGGGACCTGGAGAGGCAACTTGGGGACCTGGAGAGGCAACTTGGGGACCTGGAGAAGCAACTTGGGGACCTGGAGAGGCAACTTGGGGACCTGGAGAGGCAACTTGGGGACCTGGAGAGACAACTTGGGGACCTGGAGAAGCAACTTGGGGACCTGGAGAAGCAACTTGGGGACCTGGAGAAGCAACTTGGGGACCTGGAGAGGCAACTTGGGGACCTGGGGACCTGGAGAAGCAACTTGGGGACCTGGAGAAGCAACTTGGGGACCTGGAGAGGCAACTTGGGGACCTGGAGAAGCAACTTGGGGACCTGGAGAAGCAACTTGGGGACCTGGAGAGACAACTTGGGGACCTGGAGAAGCAACTTGGGGACCTGGAGAAGCAACTTGGGGACCTGAAGAGGCAACTTGGGGACCTGGAGAAGCAACTTGGGGACCTGGAGAAGCAACTTGGGGACCTGGAGAGGCAACTTGGGGACCTGGAGAAGCAACTTGGGGACCTGGAGAGGCAACTTGGGGACCTGAAGAGGCAACTTGGGGACCTGGAGAAGCAACTTGGGGACCTGGAGAAGCAACTTGGGGACCTGGAGAGGCAACTTGGGGACCTGGAGAAGCAACTTGGGGACCTGAAAAGGCAACTTGGGGACCTGGGGACCTGGAGAAGCAACTTGGGGACCTGGAGAAGCAACTTGGGGACCTGGAGAGGCAACTTGGGGACCTGAAGAGGCAACTTGGGGACCTGGAGAGGCAACTTGGGGACCTGGAGAAGCAACTTGGGGACCTGGAGAAGCAACTTGGGGACCTGGAGAGGCAACTTGGGGACCTGGAGAAGCAACTTGGGGACCTGAAAAGGCAACTTGGGGACCTGGGGACCTGGAGAAGCAACTTGGGGACCTGGAGAAGCAACTTGGGGACCTGGAGAGGCAACTTGGGGACCTGAAGAGGCAACTTGGGGACCTGGAGAGGCAACTTGGGGACCTGGAGAAGCAACTTGGGGACCTGGAGAGGCAACTTGGGGACCTGGGGACCTGGAGAAGCAACTTGGGGACCTGGAGAGGCAACTTGGGAACCTGGAGAGACAACTTGGGGACCTGGAGAAGCAACTTGGGGACGTGGAGAAGCAACTTGGGGACGTGGAGAAGCAACTTGGGGACGTGGAGAAGCAACTTGGGGACCTGGAGAAGCAACTTGGGGACGTGGAGAAGCAACTTGGGGACCTGGAGAAGCAACTTGGGGACGTGGAGAAGCAACTTGGGGACGTGGAGAAGCAACTTGGGGACGTGGAGAAGCAACTTGGGGACCTGGAGAAGCAACTTGGGGACCTGGAGAAGCAACTTGGGGACTTGGAGAAGCAACTTGGGGACTTGGAGAAGCAACTTGGGGACCTGGAGAAGCAACTTGGGGACCTGGAGAGACAACTTGGGGACCTGGAGAGACAACTTGGGGACCTGGAGAAGCAACTTGGGGACCTGGAGAAGCAACTTGGGGACCTGGAGAGACAACTTGGGGACCTGGAGAGACAACTTGGGGACCTGGAGAGACAACTTGGGGACGTGGAGAGGCAACTTGGGGACCTGGAGAGACAACTTGGGGACGTGGAGAGGCAACTTGGGGACCTGGAGAAGCAACTTGGGGACGTGGGTAAAGAACCAGAACAACCAAGAGAGGAGTCATAAAAGTTTAAAGCCTCAAAAGACCACGAAGAAGCCCCCTTAAGATCAAAGAACCCATGAACATTTTTACTTCACTCTGCGGAGTACAGGAAAACTTCAGTCATGGTGCTGGAGTTCCGCCATGGAACCTTAATGGAAATATATTTTTTAAGCCTTACAAAACACGGCTCAAATGTTTCATGGTGAAGTAAAAACAGCGTAGAGCATATCCATGTTTCGCCAGGCACGAGGCAGGCGGATTGGAACTTTGGTCCCTTCGTTTTTTAATCGATGTTACTCCGTTGTTCAGTTAGTGTAGGTTAGTCTGGTGTTCTCTTAGTCTGGTGTTCTGTTGGTCTGGTGTTCTGTTAGTCTCGTGTTTTGTTAGTCTGGTGTTCTGTTAGTCTGTTGTTCCATTAGTGCATGTTAGTTTATGTTAGTTTGTTGTTCTCTTAGTCAGTCTGTTGTGCGTATGTTCTGTTGGTCTATGTTTGCTTGTTGTTCTCAAAGTTAATAGTTGTCTGGTGTTCTATTGGTTTATGTCAATCAGATCTTCTGTTAATGTAGGTTCGTCTGTTGTTCAGTTAGTGTATTCTAGTTTGTTCGTCTATGTTAGTCTGTTGTTCCATTGTTGTATGTTAATCAATATTAGTCTGTTTGTTGTTCTGTTAGATTAAGAGAATAACATAAACTTTTGTTATTTAAACTTAAACAGAACAACAAAATAATTTGTTGTTCTGTTTGTCTTTCATAAGTTTTGATAATATCTTAACCTGTTATACGTCTAACGCATGAATGACTCTGCTGATTTGGATGACAACTGAATGAGATCCTTGCCAGGGTGTGTGTGTCTGCCCGTCAGGTCTGCTGAGGGAGAATTACTTTACTTCAGCATATTTATATTTTATTCCGAGCTTCCCAGTCGCTGCTGAATCTATGAGAGAGAATTTCTACTTATCTGTCTGTCCAAAGTTGAAGGCCAGACGCTTGGGGGTAGCCTCACTCAACCGTGCAGAAGGTAATAGTCTGGGGTACGAGATGGACACAGGCTGGTCAGCGTAAGCCAAGTTAATTGCTTCAAGGAACATTAGCATTTATAGATACTCCAATGAGATTTTGACGGAGTCAAGTGTGAAATATTTGGTGTGATTTCCATAGAGTTTCCCTACTTAATAATAATTTTTCAGGGAGAATTGGGAGAGGGGGGGGGGTAGGAGGACGGGAGGGACGACTGAGGAACCAAGGGGATGGGGAAAAGGGATCAAGGGGTAGTTGGGGTAAAGAGCGGAGAAAGGATGGAAAGACGGGGGGAAGAGACCGTCCACAAGCACAGCCTGTGGACGGGTTGGGGGTCGGCCACTACACAGACAGGCACAGCCGTGCTTGTCTGTGTAATGGCACGTCCACAAGGTCGGCCAACCCTGTGGACGGGTTGGCCGACTACTTCTTGAGAAGAATAGGGCAAGTGTTCTATTCCTCGTGTGAGAACGAACACTGAAAGCAGCAGCAATTTAGAAGCGGTCAGCAGCGAGCAGCGAGTGTTAGTAAGGTTGTGGGGCTTTGTTCTGTTTGGGTTAGTTGCCTGACGACTGGAGAGGGACGAGGATTGAGCTTGTATTACACGTCTTATGTAGAAGCTCTTGTGTTAAAATGAATGTTGATTCAATTAAATTTGGCTAGCGTCGTAACAACATCCATTGGCATCTGTAGTTAAAAACTGACCTTGGACGATGCGACGCCTTGCCCGCTGGCACCGGTCATGTTAGGGACGAACTGGGAAAGTTTAGCCAGTTTTATAGACTTGGATTTCTTGCGGAGAGTATATTGTCTTGGTTGATAGACGACCCTTCACCACCTTCCCTACCCTTCACCACCTTCCCTACCCTTCACCACCTTCCTTACCCTTCACCACCTTCCCTACCCTTCACCACCTTCCCTACCCTTCACCACCTTCCCTACCCTTCACCACCTTCCTTACCCTGCACCATCTTCCCTACCCTTCACTACCCTCAGTGTGAGTCCTCAGTATGCTACGCAGGCAATACTGAGATTAGGGACGCGTACACCTGCCAAGCTTCATCTATATATCATCTACACTTCATCTATATATCATCTACACTTCATCTATATATCATCTACACTTCTGTAGACGAGGCACGCAACAGATGCTGTACACGCGCCAGGTGTGTACACTAGTGATGTAAAACATCACACGTATACGTCTTTTTCATTTCTTTAAGCACACAACAGAAGCCGAACAAAATGAATATAAAAGGAAATGAGTGTTGTAGCATGACTGACCTTAAGGGTGTCGTCCCTGTAGCCCTTGATGGACCTAGCGATGAGAGGCACCCCGGCCAGCGAGGCCAGAGTACCTGATGCGTAGATACTCTGCGTCACGCCCACAGCCACACCCACCGACACACTCTCAAACTTCAAGGTTTCGCACGCACCCTTGAGAGCATTGACGGTGAGTGCGGGCGTCTCTATGGCGACGCCTTCCAAGCGGTAGGAGCCACTGATGAGGCGGTTCTGTTCCTGGAGCGACTGGAAAAAAACGGAAGAGAGGCTCTGGATGTGTTCTGGTTCGAAAACCGCCCCGAGGCGGTAAACTGGGGTGGTGTTCTTGGCGGCGGCGGCGGCTGCTGCGGCGGTGTCGAAGGGCGTCTGGACATTGGGTTTGGTGGGTGTCTGATGCACATCTTCTGAGGGGCGTGTCTCTTTGGCGAAGGGAGAAGTAATGGAGGACGAAGTCGCCGTCGAGGTCTCCTTCTTCGCTGTTGGGAAGAGGCGTCTGGTTGAGCTGGTGTCTGGCACGGAAGCGGAGGAAGGAACAAGAGACGACGAATCGCCTAGATGGGCGTTACTGTGTAGAGACTGGAACATACTGGTCGGCAGTCGGGATTCATCCGTCGAGATTTGTGATAACTTCGCTCCCAACGGCGCCTCCGCTTCTGACCCCTCGGACTCATCTTGATGACCTCCGGGACGACTTCTTCCCCCGCCCCTGCCTCCGACAACAGAAGCAGCGGTATAGGATAAGAGAATAAACGCGGAGAAGAGGAGGGCGAGGAGAAGACGCCTCATGACAGCGAATAGTCCAGTTGGGGTGGTTTCCAGTTCAACATAATCTCATAAACTGGAAGGAGCACCTTAGATTGCCTCCAGGTCATTTCAGGTCATGTCAAGGAAGGGAGGGGAGGAGTATACCGTCGCGGAGGTGTGGACTGGCTGAGTATACATTGGAGTCTCCCTTCCCCTTTAACTTTGACTGCTTTCACAACGCACCTCCATTTCCGCGATATCCGCGGCTTTTACACCACCATTTCCAAAGTGCCTGAAGTGGCGGAATTCATCTTTTAAGACGATGAAATCTAAGAGAAAATGGGAAAGCCTCCCAAGATATAAAATTCTCTCTCACCAGAAGCCATCACCGACCTGACTTGACGCCGTAGCGACTTTGACAAGTTTATTACCCAATAAACAAACTTCAGTCCCCACTCCTATTATTTGGGCCTTACATAAACACACACACACATATACTTTTGATATTAAGACGCGGCTTGACACGGTAAAAGTCAATAGGATTTCCACCCGGTTTATTCCTTGGGTTTGGATCGGTTTGTGCTTCAGACGATGAGTTACAATACGCTCCTCTTGACGTGACGGTCCACAGGTAGTCTACTTCCACTGCTCCACCTGACGTGACGGTCTACAGGTAGTCTACTTCCACTGCTCCACCTGACGTGAGGGTCTACATGTTAGTGGCTCCACCACTACTCTAAGGCAAGCCGCCTCATCCGTCCACACCTTCAGTGCCAAACACACCTGCAGGAAAAGTACGACGTTAAACTTACAAAGTGTCATTTAGTGTTGCCAGAGAGACAGAATTTACAGTCACTTATGCTGTAACTATAAAAAAGTCTCAAGTTGTACTTAAGATAACACAATGTTAACAACTTAGGTTTGACTAGGCCATAAGTGAAAGCTACAAAATGTAATCTTCCTTTATATATGTAGTGAAATAGATAATATCACTTTAATTCCAAGGTTGTATAAATTATATAGTTTTATAATTGGTAAGATTTATGATAAAAATATGATTATGTAAAGAATGGGTAAAGTTGCAGTTGGTCTATTACCATTATTCAATATACATGTCACTCCCATTATTTGATTTGACGTGTCACTTCCATGTGTTTATGTATCACAGTCAACTCACATGTTGGGGGGGAGGGTATATATAAGCCCAAACTCTAGTATTATCTTCCTATTACACTCTTGAAAATGTGTTACATCACGCAAGCACTCGGATTATTTTAATCTATGTGGCTACGCATAACTGAATCACGTGTTTTGGTAATTGTTCTTCAATATATGTATACTAGGAAGGCTACCCGGCGGCGCCCGGGGATATTACCCTTTTTCCCCACCGCCACTGGTGGGTAAGGGAGGCAAGGGGGGGGGGGAGTGAGTTCCTGCTTGTCTCCCGCTCTTGTATATGGAACGACGTACCCAAGCACGCGCTGGGTGTGACACTGAGTAAAGCTGAGGAACATGACACTGTGACACTGAGTAAAGCTGAGGAACATGGCACTGTGACACTGAGTAAAGCTGAGGAACATGACACTGTGACACTGAGTAAAGCTGAGGAACATGACACTGAGTAAAGCTGAGGAACATGACACTGAGTAAAGCTGAGGAACATGTCACTGTGACACTGAACAAATTCTCAACCCGTCACATATTTCACTGACAATAGAATTATTGACAAAAGCCACCTCCATGACGGAATATAATAATCATTTAACGGAACTACAATTTAGCTTCTCTTTGTTGCAAGGCAACAGCATTTGTAGTGGGATGATACTGGTCTTACACACACATAATATATCAACTGTGCAAGTGCATGCCATTCAGAAACTGCAATACGGATTTCATAACAAACTTTTAACCAAAATACATAATTTTTATGTTTAAACAATCAGATAATATACTCATTTAGGGTACTGTCAAGGCTGACACTCAAGAGGCTACTGTCAAGGCTGACACTCAAGAGGCTACTGTCAAGGCTGACACTCAAGAGGCTACTGTCAAGGTTGACACTCATTTAGGCTACTGTCAAGGCTGACACTCAGAGGATACTGTCGAGGCTGACACTCAAGAGGGTACTGAGTGTCAGGAGCCAGGTGACACCTCCACAAGTGGGTGACAAAGCCTCACCATAAACACACAACTTGCAGCAGGAGAACTCGACACATGTGATGCGGTATGCCGCCCCGTTAATCTATAACAATATATTTATCTGGGAAATTCTATAGTTTTAAGGAATACGCATTTTGTTGAAGCATAAACGGATCACTTTTGGTAAACTATGGCTGTCTTGCCCGCGTCGGGGACGGTGTAAATGCGACGTAAATGCATGTAAGTGCGACGTAAATGCATGTAAATGCATTTACACCGTCGGGAACGGTGTAAATGCCAGAAAGATACACCATTCAAAGGCGGGTGTAATATTATGTAAGTGAAACTCGCGACCAGAAATGACAGAATTTGGGTGATTCCATAAGACATCCGATACTTTTTATTGGTGAATTCGACTCTGTTATGTCAGTCTCTTGAGTGAATTTTAGTGGACATGTAATTTGCTGGATCAATTTGATTTTCTTGCGGGGGGCGTTAAATTTTTTAAGAGAAGATACAAATTTATAATCCACATTGATGGGTTTGTGTTGGATTCTAAAATTATTTATGGCACTAAATTGACATTTTGTATTAAATTTGTCTGCAAAGCTTTGGGGTGAGCAACATGGACTGCTTTATGTGGTCGGTCTCAGTATTATGTTGGTGGCATAGTGACCGTCTTACTGGTCCATGGAACAGTAGTTGGTGGCACAGTGACTGTCTTACTGGTCCATGGAACAGTAGTTGGTGGCACAGTGACTGTCTTACTGGTCCATGGAACAGTAGTTGGTGGCACAGTGACTGTCTTACTGGTCCATGGAACAGTAGTTGGTGGCACAGTAACCGTGTACTGCCACATAGACGTGTCATGGTTGTGCCATTGTCAAAATCATCGTAGGTACGAGTATGACCGTTGTACCCTATTACCTCTTGAACTGTGCAGACTCCGACCCGACCATGTTGAGCACATACCCCACAAGGATATAATATTGCTTTAACAATGTACAATGAAAAATACCTTCACATCTTTTAGTAAGACGATGTTGATAGAGCAAGATAAAAGTGATAATACTTGCAAGATACGATCTGATTGTGATACTTCAAATACAATATTAATGCCTATTAATACCAGGCAACAATGTGTAATATCTTAAGACAATATTGATTTAACAAGTACATAATTACGCTAAATGGTCCATTGTTTAGAGAGAAGTTCCATCCCTCCCTCACCCTCTGCTAGCTCCCTCCTTAGTCCTTCTCTGTTCTCCCATACGTCTTATCATATCAATTCTCCTCTTTTGCCTCCTTCCTTCACCCCTCATCCTCCTTCACTTCCTCCTCCTGCTGCTGCTGCTCCTGCTCGTCCTCCACACATATCTGGCCACAGCTCCGGCCACCACCCGCCCCAACAACCAACTCAGTATTCCACCCTGTAAGGACATTTCCCGCCGACCCTCTCCGGCTGAATATCTAAATCCTGAAGGCCCTTGCTTGGCCTGGTGAAGCAGCTGATATTTGTCTGGGAAGGTTGTGTAGGGGGCGAGGCGGCGGGGAACATGTGTGTCCTCAGTCACACCAAGGTAAACAATCTCTCCGCACACTTAATTCACCACAATTAAGAGTAAATTAGGCTCAGGAATCTGTACACCTGTTGATTGACGGTTGAGAGGCGGGACCAAAGAGCCAGAGCTCAACCCCCGCAAACACAACTAGGTGAGTACTATATTGATGCTATCGACAACACCGTAAAAAAACCGGTGTTTTAACCATATTAACACTAATATGGAACAGACTTCGTCAGACTAATTAGTAAGAATCGAGTTCGATAGGTTAGCAGTCACACATATGTATGTAATGTGACATATGTGTCACACATATGTATGTAATGTGACATATGTGTCACACATATGTATGTAATGTGACATATGTGTCACACATATGTAGCAGGGCAGACAATGATAAACTGTCCTCATACTTAATGCGTCATAATTTTGAACCTAGGTGTACCTAGATATAAGGTGAGAGGAAAGTTACCCCCAACCGTTTCTGTTCTACCCGGGGACTGAACCCGGGATCCTTGATTGTGAGTCGAAGATGTAGACCACTGTTCCGTCTCTCTACCCAAGCCTCTACGAGCATGCTGATGATTCCCATGTCCAACAGCCTAACTGCTCTGCACATTGATGGTTGTACATGACTTTTGTAGTCAGTGATTGGCGGATATTTCCGTGTTCAATTTCAGCTCCGAATCATTTATTGTGATTTTTTCCTGTTGTTAGAGAGTATTTTACTTTTCAGTTCCAATATCCAACTTTTTCTCTCCTGGAATTTTATATATATATATATATATATATATATATATATATATATATATATATATATATATATATATATATGTCGTACCTAGTAGCCAGAACTCACTTTTTGGCCTACTATTCAAGGCCCGATTTGCCTAATAAGCCAAGTTTTCCTGAATTAATATATTTTTTCTAATTTTTTTCTTATGAAATGATAAAGCTACCCATTTCATTATGTATGAGGTCAATTTTTTTTTATTGGAGTTAAAATTAACGTAGATATATGACCGAACCTAACCAACCCTACCTAACCTAACCTAACCTATCTTTATAGGTTAGGTTTGGTTAGGTAGCCGAAAAAGTTAGGTTAGGTTAGGTTAGGTAGGTTAGGTAGTCGAAAAACAATTAATTCATGAAAACTTGGCTTACTAGGCAAATTTGGCCTTGCATAGTAGGCTGAGAAGTGAGTTCTGGCTACTAGGTACGAACGCACTACTTGGCCTACTATGCAAGGCCCAATTTGCCTAATAGGCAGAGTGATTTTCGTTATCTTAAAAAAATTGTTTCCAATTTATTTGAATTAAAGCTAGTATATTATATTAATAATATGAATTACTAGCTTAGTTATGTTAGTTTAAGTAAGGTTACGAAAGGTTAAGAAGGGTAGGTAAGGTTTGGTCATATTTGTACGTTAGTTTTAACTCAAATTAAAGAAAATAAACTCAAATATTAACTAATGGAAAGCTTTATCATTTCATAAGAATTTGTTTTTAGAAAAATATATAACTTCAGGAAAACGTGGTTTATTAGGCAAATGGGATTTTGCATAGTAGGCCTAATAGTGTGTTCTGGCTACCAGGTACAATTTTTAGGAAACAAAAGTGGTAGCGAGAGATACCAGAAGATTATAAAAGAAACCCATTTCCATCGCTTCACACATTCACTTGCGGATGAAACGAATAAATCAAATTGACACCTTTCGTTCACTCATCTTAAGGTTCTTGAGGTTTTCTTGAGATGATTTCGGGGCTTAGTGTCCCCGCGGCCCGGTCCTCGACCAGGCCTCCACCCCTAGGAAGCAGCCCGTGACAGCTGACTAACACCCAGGTACCTATTTTACTGCTAGGTAACAGGGGCATAGGGTGAAAGAAACTCTGCCCATTGTTTCTCGCCGGCGCCTGGGATCGAACCCAGGATCACAAGTCCAGCGTGCTGTCCGCTCGGCCGACCGGCTCCGGCTCATGATTATAGATACACCACAACTACAATGCTTCTGTTATTTAGTTTGGCGTCGATTTATCTGATGTTCAAGTCGAAGCATTTTCATCTCTCTCTATATTTCTACCC